AGACAAGAATTCTGCAAAGCTTGTCAGAATCTTTTTATAACGGCCATAAAGTCTTAGGACCTGAACTCTCTACAGTGTCAAAAACATAAATTAGGTCTAGATAGGGGTAGGGGTGTGTGTGTGTGTGTGTGTGTGTATATGTGTGTGTGTGTGTGTGTGTGTAAGACCTTCAAACTGCTAAATATGAATTTTTATCATTTGCTCATTTTTCTGTTAAAGACTCTAAAAAAGATGGGTTTAATCCTTATTCTGTAAAAGCATTAGTTTATATATAGCTTAAATATTTTAGGATAGTCCTTTATTCTTTTCGGCAACTGTTTAATTCGTATAATCAAATGTGAATTAATTTATGCCATGGTAATACTTCTCAAATGTGTATAAATTCCTACACCAGAAAAAAATTTTGTAAAGACCATGTGTCCTAGTTTTTCATTTTGAAAGGTTTAAACACCATATTCCTAGCAGTAAGCTCGTCTAGACTCAGAGTTAAAAACACTTAGCTTCTCTGGTATAAAACTCTTCTTTAAAATGTGCTGCCTAAAGGTTTTCTATAATGAGCAAACATCTTGAAGAAAGAAAGTGCTTCCAATCTGAGGTCTGACTTACAACTTGGAATCTATGATTCCAATGACTGGGAGAGGGGAGAATAGTGACAATATCATGATTAGTATATAACATACAGGTCCCATGGGAAGGTACAGTTCTATTTGTCTATAAACATATCTTTGTTACTTAAAATTATGCAAGTTCTAATTTTCATAAACTCTTTTCCCCTCATGAAGGGTCTGACTGTTAATAGTACAAGCATATAGTTATTACTGCTCTCGACTTGATAGTACTTATTTTTAAAAGAATAGGGAGAGTGTGTTACCTCTAAGATCCAAGTGCACCCTTCTAGATGCACTCTGTGATAAGCATTTCTCTGAAGAACGTGTGCTATGAAGTTTTCTCAGTAGAGCACTGGGAGGAAGAGGCTGTCCTAAGTATCCAGCATGACAGCTGGCAATGTGGCTGTGAGGACCATCAACACTGTGGCCCAGCTACAGCCTAGAACATGGTCTTTCTGTGACCTTGCAGGCTCAGCCTACCCTAACGTTTTGGGAGTTCAGCTGACATGGACACCAAAGCCTCCACATAGCTCTTGTGTTCTAGGTGGGCCCAGACCCCACTACCCACTGGATGGCCAGTAACCCACTGGATGGCCTGCTCTCTGCCGGCACTCCAGAGGGTAAACGAGGGCTTGCCCAGAGACTTTGGATCAGCTCCAGTCTTGTCAAACCAGCAAACTCCCCTGTGATTCCATGGGCTGAATCACATCTTCTCCAATGAGGTCTGAAGCCCTGGCAGTTTGTCCTTCCTTGGATATATGCCCTCAGCCTTAGGGAACCCTACAGAGTTTCTTCATATCTGATAGTTACACTTTTATCATAGGTAATACTTATTACATTAAACTTCCCTTCTTTAACCTACTGTGTGGTTTCTATCTCCTCTCTGAACCCAGACTGCTACAGGGAGGAAAGGGTGCAAGTGAACACACATGAGTTCATGTTTGCCCACTAATGGAAAAACTTCCAAAACGATAAAACCTAAATAAATATTTATATTTGAGAAATGCCAAGATACTTTCCAATCCAGAAAAGTCTGGATGATATTTACAGTCCAAGTGCAGAATTAAAACACTCTCATTTTCTCCCACTGAAAATAAATTAGTGGTGAACAGATAAATTCTGGTAATATCCATATAATGGAAACTACTCAGCAATAAAAAGGAACAAACTCCAGACATATGCAATAAATGAACAAATCTCAAAACAGTATGCTAAGTGAATGAGGCCAAACACAAAAGTCTGTATACTGCACAATTCCATGCATCTGACATCCTAGAAAAGACAAAACTTTAGGGACAAAACACAGGTCATAAGGGAACTTGATAGGATATTAGAAATGTTCTATAGCTTGATTATGGTGGTATTTATACAACTGTATATTTCTATTAAAACTTATCCAACTGTACACTTAAAAGGAGCATGTTTTATAGCATATAAATTAAACCTCAACAAACCTGACTTTACAAAAAATACTACATATCAAAAATTGTGGAAGGTAGTTGAAATAATATTTAAAGGAAATTTTACAGCCTTAAATGTATGTTCGAAAAGAAAGATAATTGGGCCGGGCATGGTGGCTCACACCTGTAATCCCAGGACTTTAGGAGGTCGAGGCAGGCAGATCATGAGGTCAGGAGTTCCAGACCAGCCTGGCCAACATGGTGAAACCCCACCTCTACTAAAAATACAAAATTTAGCCAGGCATGGTGGTGCGCACCTCTAGTCCCAGCTACTCGGGAGGCTGAGACAGGAGAATCGCTTGAACCTGGGAGGCGGAGGTTGCAGCCAGTGAGCCAAGATCACGCCACTGCACTCCAGCCTGGGCAACAGTGCAAGACTCCGTCTTAGGGAAAAGGAAAAGAAAGAAAAAGAAAAGAAAGATAATTAAAAATTAGTAAGCTGAATTGTCCAAGTGAAGAAAAGAAAAATAAACCCATAGAAAGCAGAAAGAAGAAAAAGATGTAAGAACATAAATTAATGAATGCAAAAGTTAACGTGCAGTAGCAAGGATTAACAAAACCAAAAGCTGGTTTGGGCTTAAAAAAAATTACACTTTGATAAGACTGATCCCCAACCCCCCCAAAAAAGAAGAAACAAATAACAGGAATGAAAAAGCAAGCTATAAATACAGATACCGTAAATTTTAAAATCTAAAACTTGATGCCAATAAATTTTAAAATGTACATGAAATTAAGATGTCTTGGGAAGTGGCAGAGACCTGCATTAATCTGGAGTGAAACCAAACAAAACTGACCACTAAGAAATCTAGATCACAAGAACAAAGTAGAAAGAGCTAGACTGTTAAAAACACATACTCAAATGACAGAGCCACAGAGGATGAAACCATCTCTGAAAATAGAGACAACCACGGTATTTTTGAATATAGGTGTTTTCCCTAAAGGCAGGAAAATAAGAAAAAAAAGTTAACGCCCAACCTCCAGTTCTGACAACACCGCAGAATACCGAGGTCACTCCTGAAACCTCCCCATGTAAGAGAAGCAGGGATATCTAGGGGCCAGAGAAATTGTGTGCATGCCCATCCCCACCCCTTCTTTTGATGCTGATATTGCTATTCTTGGTAAATCAGGTGAAAATGAATACCAAGGGTAGTCCTATGGAGAGGAGAAATCACGAGGATATGTGGGACAGGTTAAGCCTTGCCTGTATTGCCTTGATGAGAGGGCAGGATTCAAGGGACCTTGTTGTACAGTGATTACAGGAATAGTAACAATAGCAATAATAAAAGCCAGAATTTTTTAAGCATTAACTGTTCATTATTAGCAGCCATACATTAAGTATTTTACATGTATTAATCTCATTTGCTCTTCATTAAATCTTACAGCTGTAATTATTAACCCAGTGCTACAGATGGGGAATTTGAGGTTTGAAGAATTATATAATCCATTGAGGTTAACACAGCCCACAAGTGGTTGAAATCAAAATTGAATCGGGTTCTGTCTGACTCTGGAGTCTGTACTTTTTCCTTTTTAAAAAAAAAAAAAAAAGATAGGGTCTCCCTCTGTCACCCAGGCTAGAGTGCAGTGGTGCAATCATAGCTTACTGCAGCCTCAAACTCCTGGGCTCAAGTGACCCTCCTGCCTCAGCCTCTTGAGTAGCTAGGACTACAGGTAGGCACCACCATGCCTGGCTAATTTTTTAATTTTTTGTAGAGACAGGGTCTAGCTATGTTGCTCAGGCTGGTCTCGAACTCCTGGGCTCAAGGGATCTTCCCGCTTTGGCCTCTCAAAGTCCTTGGATTACAGGTGTGAACCCCACGCCTGGCCAGGAGTCTGCACTTTTAATGAAATGTCACGCAACATCTACTATTATTGGCTAAGTGCTTTCACACTCATTCTCTCAGCTAAACAGAGAGAGAATGAAGCACAGACAGCAGTAAAGCCTATATGCTGGGCAGTGTTAGCATACAGAGAAGCCATGATTTAGTGACTTGCCTTTGTAACAATGAGCTGGCAAATTTTCCTCAACCCGAGTTACCACAGTACTAAGTAGTAAGGGGAAAGAGATGGTGGCTTTCTCTATCTGCAAAATGGAAAATCCAGATAATCCCAACTAACTTTTGCTAAAGTTCCTGTGAGAAGTAATCAAAATTTCATGGATAGAAGTTCCCTGGGGACAAATTTTGGCCGAAAAACAAAGTAAAACAAAACAAAACAAAAAACCCTACTATCTTTACACAGAGCTTTGAGCAATGATGTGAACTACTTCCAACTTGTGGAATTCCCTCTTCTCAGAAATGACTGGAGGTAGTCAAGCAAATGTGAAATGATGCCTCTTGTTGGAAATATAGCAAGAGCTGGAAAATATGTCCTTTAAGACCCTTTTCAATCCTGAAAGTTTATCATTCTCTGATACAGTGTTGGAACAGCTGATTGAGAGAGACAATGGCTTCTAGGAATTTAAGACATGCCCATTTGTCACCTGTGCTTACAGTGAAGCCGCATAGAAGTAACCTTGGAACAGCCCTTCCTAGGGGTTAAGGTGCTATGATACTTATTGTAGTTCTTAGGATCCATTTCTGAGCCAGTCTGGACTCATCTCTTTTTCTCTCCATGTAGTTGAGATTAAAATCATCCTGTAGTTTAATATCAGAGAATAAATGGCCATGAGAATGAACGTTAAAGAAGAAGCCTGCCAAGCAGCCATGGATCAAGCAGTCTCCGAACCAAACAAAGGAAATGAAAAACGGTCTTAGGCTCACACAGGCTGATACTGTTTTAAGCAGCCTCTTGGGGTCACAAACCACAGGCATTTAAGTCCTGCTCTCAAAGCCATTTCAATAACTGAGTTAAAAACCAAGCTCAAATCCGCTAGCACAATCCACCAGCAGAACCAGGCTACTGTGGTTCTGAGACAAAGATGACATTCATTTGCCATGTGGTTTCTCAGAAAGCGTATCTACACAGCAGGTTTCCCTGGCAATTTTGGATACATATGTCTTTTTCAGACTACTGTTCTTGGCTAGTTTTCTGAAAGAAAGGAGCACAAAATCTCATTATATTCCAAAGCACAAATAAATTCAGTCTCAACATACTTTAAACCAAGCTTTACAGGAAAAATAAGAAGTTGAAACAAAAATAGTGTACCCTGTCAAGAACAATCTAGGATAGTCTTCTCACCAGAAACTGCTCGGCATGACTACTTCAGTAAAAGGCCATTAATAGGCAGTGGTGTTGACCTTGGCTAGCTCCTGGGCATTCACACGGCACTGCTGGGTCAGAAACCTAAACACCAATCATAGTCTCCATTCATCTTTCTTCTAGCACAGAAGAAAACAAACTCATCAGAAAAAGGTTAAAAAGCAGAGCATGGAGATTGTCCAGAAAGGGTGGTGGTCTGAGAGCGCAGGTGCTGATGGTTAAAACCCCAGCTTAATTCATACACTCAACAGGCAAAAAAAACGTAACAACAAAAACAAACAAAAAGACTCAATCCCCAAACCTCCTGTTGACAAGAAAAAAGCCTGGCTTAATACATTAGAATGACCTGAAAACAACCCAACTCCAACCAAAAAAGCACCAAATGTTAAATGCCAAGTAAAAAGAGAATGATTAAATCAACCAAAAAAATATAATGTGATAGGCTATCATGTAACCCTTAAAAATGATTTCACAAGTGTTTTTAATGATATGAGAAAATGTTTAAGGCATGTTAAGTGAAAAGAAATCAAGATTTATTATGCATGTAGAATGATCTCAGTTGTGTAAAATAATATTAAGTATAAAAAACTGGAAGGAAATGTTAAAATGTAATTATTATTGCTGGGGGAGTGGAAGAGTTGTAAGAGACATTTTCTTCTTTAAGCTTTTCTTCAGTCTCTAAATTTTCTATAATGAGAGTGTTTTTTTAGAACTAGAAGGTTAAACAAATAGTAACATTGTAGAAGAGCAAACCAACACCAAAAAAGAAGAAAATAATAACATTTATTAAGTGCTTATTGCAGGCCAGCAATAAGGACCATTGTCCTAAAGGTGCTTTACATGCATTACAGTTTTAGTATCCCTTATCCAAGATGCCTGGGACCAGAAGTGCTTTGGATTTTGGATTTTCGGATTTGGGATGACGCAACCTGTATCTCATTTGATACTCACAACAGCCCTATGAGAGGTATGACTTTACCATGTTTGATAGATAAGACAATCAAGGGTTAGATGGGTGACATAACAGGTAGAGCAGATAGGCTATGAGCCCTAACAGAATAACTCCAGTGGTTTTAACCACTATATGCCTCTCAACCACAAGGGCATAATCTGTCTCCCTGCCTGCAAGCCTGACCTAAACATAAGCCTCAAAGACAAAATTTACTTTAAAAGGCACTATAATAATTTAGGATAGTGGGACTGCCAAGGTACTAAGATACTCAGATAAATATTCAAAAGAGGAACTAAAACACCTCTAATGAAGCTACAAAGATAATCTATGTGATAGAGAAATGCATTGTCGCAGTTGAAAACATACCAGCGCAACAAATCAACCCACAGCTAAATCCCACTGTACAAGAGAAGCTAGTAATAACTGTCACCCACTTACTGCACTACCATGAAAAAAGGAAAGCGCGAAAAGATACAATAACAATGAGCTAGACAGAAAGGATTTGAATTTGTCTCCCAAAAAGCCCCTCAGCAACAAGAGGCCTGGACCATCAGAGGCTAGTGAAGAGAAAGAAACTAAAGAGAAAAAAAAAAAGCATTGTACTTGATGCCAAATTACGTAAAGTACAACCAGCACAGGAGGACCCCCTTACTCTTCTTTCAGTCTAGCACTAAAGGCCTTTTGGTTAGAAATAATCAATTTTGCTTGGCAAAAAAAGGATCAAGACATAGAAGTACTTTGGATCAAATTCTGTAGAATCAGCCTATTGGAGATGCATTAAGGTTAATGCCAAAACCAATATGGTGTTCTGTTCAGTTTCTTTCTAGAGGTTTTAAAACTCGAAAAACATTAAAACTCATTTGAAGTGGAAACTTTCTATCTGTGAAAACAAGCCACTTTTAGATACTATAAGCTATTAAGATTTGGTAATTCTAAATTAACTATGTATTTTTTTAAATTCTGGGTTGTTAGAAAAATATAAAGCTCAATTGCTGCCTTACTCTTAACACCAAGACAAATACCTGATAGATTAAATATTGAGAAAGAAAATCATAATGAACATTCTAAAACAAAGTAGGGGTTAATACTTTTGTAATCTTAGAATGTGAAAAACTTTTTCAAACATGACATAAAATTCCAGAAACCACAAAAAAAAGCTAATAAATAAAAATATATAAAAATTTAAATGTCTGAAGTTAGATACCTTATACAAAGCTTTAAAATATATTCTAGGAGAATATCTTTACCACATATATTAAAAGGCTCATAACCCGACTTGACAACTGAAGAAGTCTTTAAAATCAATAAAGAAAGTAAGAATTACATGGAAAATTTGGTAAATAACATAAAGTGACAATTCACATACCAAAAACGATGGGGAAATTTAACAATATATATCAAAATTTCAAATTTATAAACAGGTTGACCCAATAATTCTACTGCAGGAATTAATTCTAAGGATACACCATGCAAAGATGTTCTTATTAAAGCAATATTTATTAATATTAAAAAGCTGAATGCTACCTAAATGACTGTGAACTGGAGACTGGTTAAATCAGAGATCACAAACACAAATGTTTTTAGAGACTGGCAAAGACAACAGAAATAAGCTCAACAGGCCATCATAAAACAACCACCAGGAAGTGGTGGGATCTGTGAAGAGCTGGAGAACTCAGACCCATTCAGTAGTTCAAAGTATAAAAATCCCAAGTGCCACAGGCCAAACTGGTTCCCCCTTCCCCAGTCCCCACACACCCCCAGGGCACACCCCCAGGGCGAGATGTGTAATCAATAGCCATGGGACAGCACTGCTGCCTGTTCTCTCTGCACCGAGCCTAGGAAGATCCTCTTACTCTGAATGCTCGTCTGTTCTATCACATTTGAGTAGATACAAAAGAGCTCACTGATGTGGCCAAACAGATTCTCAGGATTAACAAAACCTTAAAGGTCATCTAGTCTAACTTGAAGCTTTCCTTGAGGCTGCAGTCTTTCGGACATGTTTAGGCCCAGGTGAACAGTGTAGACAGGGGAGGGGAAGGAAGTGGAGAGTGATGGAATACAAAGCCAGAAGTCAGGGAATGAGGACTACACACTTGGCTTTCCTGTGGGATCTTCATTTTCCACAATAACAAAATTGAGATGGGAGAAGTGGTGAGAATTCTTAAAAAGCTGAAATCCTGTGCATCACATATTTTCTATATCACTGTACGTAAAACTCTATTAACCGAATACCAGGAACTCACGCACTATTCTAATATGAAGTGCTGAATTCAGAGTACCATTGTTAAACATCCCTTTAGCAATGAACTCTGGGCAGCTGTTACCCTCACTGACCAAGCTGGCATAGGGAAGAGTTCCACAGATAATGTGACAGATTGTATATGGTATTTTTACCACAAGATCTTAATTCATCCCAGGAACTGTTTTAAAAGAATAGTTGTAGTTTATAATTGCAGTCTCAGCGGCACTTCCAAAAGTGGAAAACCTCCACTTGAAATTGGAATAGAACGTTTCTTCCCAACGTGTGAAAATAACTTTATGCTTGGTCCTGCCATATCTGGGAATAAGAACAGTTGGGAGGGGGTAGAAAATTTTCTGACTTTACCTCATTTTTAATAACACTACATTAAGATTTATTAAACTAGATGCATCCATGTCTAAAGGCTACAAAATCCTAGAACAGTTTTTGCTGTGTATTTTCTCCTAAGTAAAGGGCAAATGGAAGTGATCAGTGGGTCTATAAAGTAGATTCAAGTTTGCCCTCCCTCCAGCTGCTGGCCACCCTCTGATTCAATGCTCTGTGTAATGTGAACTCTGCTAGACAAAAGGGTGCACTCAGCAGCTGATGGATTCCATCAGCTCTCTCTGTCTCTCTCTGTCGCTTTCACACATACACACAGTTACTTGAGCTATTTTACATTAACAAATGTACCATCAGGATAAAACTGTTTAAAAAAAAAAAATCTATGTGGGAACTTTCAGGACTTACAGCCTCCAGGCAGGCATAGAAGGGAAGCAATGAGAGAAAACACAAAAGGTCTGTCAATGTTTCAGTCAGTATCCTTGATATTTAAACCCTAGGAACAAGAAAGTCATAACAGAATTAAGCTCACCCTAGGAACAAGAAAGTCATAACACAATTAAGCTCATCTTAGGTATAAAATAAATATCACAGCCGGGTGCAGTGGCTCATGCGTGTAATTCCAGCACTTTGGGAGGCCTAGCTGGATGGATCACCTGAGGTCAGGAGTTCGAGACCAGCCTGGCCAACATGGCGAAACCCCGTCTCTACTAAAAATACAAAAATTAGCCGGGTGTGGTGGCAGGCACCTGTAGTTCCAGCTACTTGGGAGGCTGAGGCAGGAGAATCGCTTGAAACTGGGAGGTGGAGGTTGCAGTGAGCCAAGATTACGCCACTGCACTCCAGCCTGGGCAACAGAACAAGACTCCGTCTCCAAAAAAAAAAAAAAAAATCACAAAGCAAACTATGTGTGAACTAGCAGGGCCTGCAATAAAAGTGTAAAATAAGTGTGGGTCTTCCTTTTACCTTCGTTTTTTGGGGGCAGCCCACTTCGGTATCTTTCCCTTTTCTGGTAGTTCATCCACGTCTCCCACCCTAAGTGTTACACGTGAAAATTTACTGAATGCCTACTCTGTGTCAGATACTCTGCTAAGCACTTTAACAGCATTTTAAAATTTAATCTTCTCGATAACTCAGAGGTAAATATGATTAGTGTCTTCATTCTAGGTTGGTGACAAGCCTAGAGTTACTGGTCCCATAAATAATGAAACCAGCAATGAATCCAAGTCTATCTGCTCTTGGTCGGTATATTAGACTGCCTTTGATGCTCATGTTGGTGTCCTGGATGTCCTAAGC